GCTTAGTGTAATTTTTTAAAAAAGTTATTTTTCTAGACCCTTAAATTTAAAATCTAAAACAATTTTAACCTGGATCAAAATATAAATAATCTGATTGATTTTGTATCGCTTTTGTACATGCATCCGTTTTGAAGCTTCAAGGCAGCAGAAAAGCCAGAAATAGTCCTTAGCAAGGAAATAACAAAAAGATCTATATGATGTATTATAGGGTCATTGCATATTTCTGTTATTGTATGTCTATTTGTTGGAATATCAGGACTCACAGTGGCTGTATGTCTTGGGGGTAGGCTAGCTCAGTAAATGGAGCATTTGACAAGTTATACAGGGGTCTAAATTGATGATCCAGTAATAAGTTATATATGTTTTCCTTCTACACCTATAAATGCTAAAAAAGTGTATTCAGTGACAGAAGTGAGTCATAGACTTTGTTAATTTCAGCTGTAAACATACATTGCAATTAGAATAGATTATATTATAACAACATGTTTATATTTTTGTGAAGCACATAAACATATAAAAAATTATTTTTATAGGGTAATTTGGGCAAACACGGAATTGAAGCAAGGAATACTGCCATAGGAAACGTGATGAAAACAGAGAAAAAAGAAAACAGTTGAGAAAAGCAAGTACAAAAAATCACATGTCTTTGCACTGCATCATCATGTCTCACAACACTACATTACATTCTTCATCAACTGAACCATGATCACCAACACCATCAGAAACCACTTCTACTGCAAGGAGTATTAAAAAAACAAAAACTCTAACATTCACATCCAATCCTCTCTATGTCCGCTTGCACGCTAAAGATATGGTAATATACATTAAAATATATAATATATTTAAAAATTTTCAAATTAAAAGGACTTATCTATGATGTATTACAATAATGTCTTAAATAAAGGGATTTACATGCAGTGATGGAATCCTCATGCCAGTTTGCCATGGAGAGGTGTTTTCAGTTGAAATGATCCTCTAGCCGGGCAGATATGGAGAGGTGACCAAGACACAGATTTTTTTGTTAAACTACATTTACTTAAAGTATCTATGATATATAAATAAAAATGTCTTAAATGTAGGGATTTACATGCAGTGATGGAATCCTCATGCCAATTTGCCATGGAGAGGTGTTTTCAGTTGAAATGATCCTCTAGCCGGGCAGATATGGAGAGGTGACCAAAAAAAAATTACAATGTATTTGTTAAAAAATTACTTTTTATAATGTGAAAACTCATTAATGACTACTTTGTAAATCAACATCCTCTCGCCAGTTTGCTGTGAAGAGGTGTTTTCAGTTCAAATAATCCTCTAGCTAGGAAGTTTTGGAGAGGTGAATAACAGTATTTAACTAAACATGCTGTCAGAGTTTCTTTAATTTACCTTTATTATATCATATCCATTTATGAACTTGAAGTAGAATCCTAACTCAGTATTAAAATATATTGACTGAAATATTCTTAATTTGTCATGGTTATATAAAAATATTTTGTTTCAAGTCACTATGAGTAATTAAATTCTTATTTCAATTTTGTCTTACAGAAAATGGTATACCCGGTAACACCTTGGAATGCAGATGAAGAGCTTTTGTCGTGACAATCTTTCAAAATTATACCAGCAGAAATTTTTGTCTTGTTTGCATATTTTTTAATGCTAAGATTATTATTCTAAAAGAGAAATATGTGTTACATATATTTAAAGTTTTAAGCAAAAGCGAGTTGAAAAGTTTAAAGTGCTTTTGTGTCCATTAAGTTTTCTATGTTTTAATGATTACATGATGTAAATATCTTGCAGTATACCTTGATTTTATCTATAAATTTGTCATTTACAAAAAAGTAAAAAAAATTTTTTTTTTTTATTCAATTAAAAAAGTTTATTTATGATACTTTGATATGGAAAGTAATTAATTTTTTTTAAAGAAGAAAAGATGTACATTTACCTTTTCAGTGAAAAAAGGTGAATGGTGAACTTTTATTATTTCAAAAGATTAAAAAAGATGAACTTTAACAATTGTAAAAGATGGAAAGATGATATATAATCAACTTTTCAAAAAAGGTGAATGATCAACTTTTAAATTACAGAGATGAAAAAAGATGAAATTTTGTTCACCTTACCAAAATTTAAAGGTGAAAGTCAACCTTTTGATGTGAAAAAGGTGATGAAAGATAAAGGTTCATCTTTTGTAAACATTTTGTAAACTATTAAATATTATAAAAGGTGACTTTTCGTGCAGTGTTTATCGTGCCAATGCTTTTGTTACGGAATCTCGTTTTTTGAGAATTTCCATGAGACCGATTCAAAAGGCAAGTTAAATAAGGGTTATTAAGTATTTATGAATTGAAGAAAAAGAAAGAAGTTCCCCCCTCTCCCCAAAATAGAATTTTTCTCTGCCCAAAAAGATTTGCCGAGTTAGGAAAATTTTTTTTTTTTGCTTATCATTTTATTTTGGCAGGTAGGTTGAATTTATTTACTCGCTTTTAAAAAACCATGTACATTACTGTGTATTGGTGCGTTCAGTTCCCTGTTATGTCTTTTAATAGCCAACGGGGGGTCTTAAGTATTTTTTTTTTTAATTTACTACAGGTGTAACGACGTATAAAATAACCTTTAAAAAGTCTTCTTTAAATATCATGCAATTTATTTACACTCAAGAAGCCTATTCATAAAATTTAAAACCTGAATGACAAAAATCAAACATGATCATCATAAAACAAAACCCAAATAACGAGTACTTATTCATTATTGTTGCAGTAAAAACCGTTCAAGATCTCATATATTACACCAACGGTTATTGCATTTCCACTAAAAAACACAAAATTATATTCCTCTCAATTTAATTGTAAACATACAATGTACCCGTATGTACTATTGACTTCGACTGAATTCATAAAACAAACATTTCTACATATAATACAAAACCACATGTGGTAAATAAATATGGATTGGATTTTAAAACCCCTCGACATGCACGGCTATTCTTACAAAAGAACCTCTGTATTGTTATTCATTTAATCTGTTTTGGGGGAAAATCATTTTTATGAACACACACCTCTTCCTTTTTACGTACGCACGGAATTATCTTCAACGTCTTGGTGTAGTGACTGTTAAAAAAAAATTTAAATTTTTAAAAAAAAAAAAAAAAACCCGGCACCCAGTGACTCAAAAGAGCATTGTCCTTCTTAGTAAACAGACCGTAAAGAGAAATAGACCAATAGCAGTCCTGTAATGAATGTGCAACAGGCATTAAATGACATGACATATACATTTATAAAAATAGGACATCGAAAAAATTAAAAAGATGCGTTACATCGAGCTTGCTGATGAATGAATTTTGTCTTCCTCGTTTTAGTCCCTGTTTTCCTGTTTCTTTGTCCACCATAACAGGACGGTCTAATGTGATTAAAAAATGATTCTTGAAAATTGCATGCATAAATAATTTGGATAAAGAGAGGACCATCTCAAAATACTTACACTTTGTACAAGATTGTAGATAACTGTATATTGCATAGTTGTTCTCTTTAAATAACACGAAAGCTGATAAAAAAATCTAATTCTTACATTTATAGACTCAGCAAGTATAGCTTGATGGACATGGTGGTGTTCTGTATTAAGTATTAGTAGTAATTATCTTGTATGACCGCTCCATGTATATTAAACTCGGCGCAAAAACCTACAATGTGTTATATCATTCAATACATTATATTGTAAATAAAAAAAATTGGCATATTAGAGGAATTTTGTATCGATAATATGAAAAATGAATAAGTATTCTCAAAAAAAAAGAAATTTAAGAATAAAAAAAAAAATATTTGTTGCAATGAGTGACTCGATTACATATAAAGTTTATTTTTCAAGCATGCTGTGCATGTTTGTACATTAATCCTACTTATGAATTATAGTGTGAGTTGGGATATTTATGTTGCGATTAACAAATGTTTTAATTAAACATTACCTTCACTAGGGATAAGGGTTAATATATGATCAGATGGGTGTAAGGTTGTCAATCTGATATACGTACCCAGTATTGTACGATTTAATGCACAAACTTCCATTGTTGCGTTTCGATAAGAGTTTATTACACAGTGGTATTGGAAAATGTAATTTTGATTTCTGAATGGGGGTTTCAAAGATTCTGCACAGGACTGAGAAATAGATTCACAGTTTAATCTTTGTGCTGCTCTTGCCCACGACTCCTTATCTTCTGGACATTTCTCAACAAATCGCAAAGTTAATATTGAGATTTCACATTTTCCTAATGCTGTAACCTGTTTAAAAATAATGTAAATTAATGTGTTTGAAAATGCTATTTTAAATGTCAAGGACCGTAAAATTAAATGCAATAATTTCTCAAAACATTGGCCAATAAATGCATTTGTTCGGGCATATCAGATTCTATCAGTTAAACTTCGGTTTTAATTTATTTGTTTGAACACAGGGAAAATTTATTTAAAAAAATGCTTTCTAAAGTGAATTCTCTTTGATGTTTTTTTTAAAGAAACACTGAAGTTTTAGACCCCCTCAAAGTCATGAAAGAAAAATAATTGAAATAAGATAAAACTTTTACTTACTTTTCTTACACACAATGCAGTCATTATTATTGTAATTGAAATGATTATATATTTCATCATTTTCCTGCATATGCCAGAAATGATTCATCTCAATGTCCCCGTCAACTTAGTAATAATAATAATATATACCGGACAAGACTGATGGCTGAAAATTTTCTGCACAAAAATGTCTAAAAATAGCTTCTAAGTATAGAAGCTGAAAATTTTCATTCTAACTAAGAAGGAATGGGCATTGGACTGAAAAGGGATGCATGTTTTATGCACTGAATTCGTTCAGACAAATTTATATAGGAAATATATATATTGCAAAACTTCATAAATAAATTTCTTGTGTCTCGTTCTAAGAACACAAACTTTAACTTGGTAATCCTTTGTCAACTGACAACTTTGACTGAAACAATGCCTTCACTTTGCACAAATGTCGTATTTGTTGAACAACTATGCCCAAAAGGCAACATTTTTAAAGCCATAGATTGGCTTTAAAAATGATTTTCAATAAAAGTTATTTGTTTCACTGTTTCTTAAATGTACCCCAAGCTTATTCTATTGTAACCTTGAATGCGTTACAAATTCGAAAACAGTTGTTGACAAAATATTTCTTCCGAAAATTAAAATTGTCAAGTAGTTCGATATTAAAGTCCATCAAACAAAAAAAAGTACCAATTATGGTTTCCTGCTTTTGTGCACATATTCTTTTTTAATAAGACACAAAGAACGTCACACATAACCTAAAACTCTCATTATAAGATAATTACTCATGAATTTGAAAATGAGATATGAGGGGAATTAATTTACTCAGTATTATTTTATAATTCGATTATTTTTCTGACGTGTAGAACAATCTTGAAAACAAATGTAATAGGTAAAAAAGATTTCTTCTTCTACTTTAAAATCAATATTTTAATACCTACCCGTAGCCATACACACAAATGCTCATGTACATAATTATGTAACACTCAAAACAAAAATTGGAAAATAGAGATTATTTCTTTATGTACCCCTCCTGAATGCTGTCACGATCATATCCTTAATTTCAAGAGCAAAAGAAAAATCTGTACTTGTCTGTTATCTATCTTTGATTAAAAAAAAGTTGTACTTGATATTTTGTTTTCAAAGTTATTGCATATTAGTTATATCAACAACACATTAGAAGTGTGGTTTGTAATTAAGAATGTTTTTAAAGTTTTGTGTGAGTTATTTGTGTGTAAATCACCCAGACTTGTCACGTTGGCATTTTTAATGAAGCGCTATAGCGCTTCATGAAAAATATGCCTACGTGCAAGTCTGTGTGATTCTCACACCAATAATTCACACTAAACTTAAAAACATTCCTTATATTTACATTTTACATGTTTGGAAGGAACTAAAATTTACGCAATATTTTGAATTCTTGCTGCCCTATATCGTTGTAATTTACTAACGTCGCTGAAGACTCATTGTGACGTCACGTTAACGCACATTTTTCTGAGTATATTTCTAAGCATGAGTATACACGAAAATGGTTTTCAAATCAGTTTCACACTTGACTTAGTAGAAAAAAAACAGCGAATGTAAATATTCTTAAATGTAATAGGTCACAAAATTCACCCTTTTGGTATAGGGCTCACTGCTTACTGCAATCAGGCTAATAGTTTGACTGCTCGATGTCCAGCTTTGAAGAAAAATATTTTTAAAGGTTGCATTAATTTTTGTGGTTTCAGTCTCATCCCGCATAATTCAAGGGAGCAAGGACCATGAAATTCACATATTTTATTTCCATTTACACGCCATAGAAGTTGTATATCCAATTTGTTTGATGTTTGTTCAGTGGTTTCAGAGAGAAATGCTAACATGTTCAATAGTATATAAGACCGACTAACGACGACAGACGAAAACAGATACATGTAGCAATGGGTTACATGAATTACTCAGACGACCTTAATATATTGCTATGAAATGTAAGGGACAAAGATAGGTAACTGTTGTTTTCTTTAACATTGTTTCTATCACGATCTTATGAAGGATCTTTTCGAAAATAAATTTAACATTTCAACGTAATACAAGGTTTTTTTTCTGCTAGCTGTGATTCAAGGTAATGCCATCTCACTTAGGATTGCTTTTATGATATACTGCCAGGTATGTGCATATACACAAATTGTCTTTCTAGCTTTTTTTCATTGTTAATTACATTAATGTGATTTTTTATAGACAAAGGTCATTAATTTTTTTCTAATTATCACTTGATGTCATTAAAAAAGGAGAAAGAATCTATGAATATCTAACTAATTAGCGAAAAGAAACTTTAAAAAAGATAATAGAGTACTTACAATTTCACCTAATAAAAAAAATAGCCACTTCTACATTTCATTTGAATTTTCTCTGATCTTTTCTATCTTTTGTTTCTACATTCTTCTTCATTCAGGAAATTACATTTGCAAACATTTACACAGTGCAGATTTGTGTGTTTTACTCCACATATCACTAATCTGCGATTCATTGTGTAGATGCAAGTTATAATAATTCGGGAAAAAATCTCTGCAATAACCGGCCCGGTAATAATTTTAAGCAAACAACAACCTATCATTGGACTTGGTAACGTGGGCCCACCAGTAAATGCCTTTCTTCATTTCATTGCCTGACATTGTGTTCGCTTTGTATGTACGAGGGTTGTCCCAAAATTTTGTAGACAGAGCTGATATCTCTTAAAGAAAATAATATATCTTCAACATTTTCTGGGTGGATAAAGCATGTTCTTGGCACATAAATTACGATGTTTTATCATGTTTACTTAAACACAATTCGAGTAATAAGAGCTTAAGTGATAAAAAAAGTACGCAATTTGAAAACAAAATCAAAGTGCGTTAAAATTCGCACAAAATCAACGCAGTTTGAATTTTTTTTTCAAGGTCAAGGTCGTAGGGTCAAGGTTGTTAGTAGCCAATGAAAGGTCTTTCAACAAAGAGTGTAAATTTCCTTGTGTCTACTGTTAAAAAGATATGGACAAAGTAAAAGTTTTAAATTTTCTTTTAAAATTGTTCAAACTCCCAAGGCAAGGTCAAAAGGTCAAATATGGTAGTACCCAAAGAAAGGTCTGTTCACAAGGAATACCCATATGAATTATGAAAGTCATGACTACACTAAATCAAAAGATATGGGCAAGTTTAAAGTTTTTGCGGACAAACAGACAGAGATACAACTAAACAGACTGACAGACAGCTAGACAGACGGACGGACACGGCAAAAACTATATACCCTGAAATTTCGTTTACGGGAGCATAAAAATTGCTAAACAAATACCAAAATACAAGTAAAGAAAGAACGAGTGGAGTTATAAAATATCAAATGTATATTAAAAAACACATTTTTTATCAAGCAAAAATATCTTAATAGAAAAAAATCATATAAGTGTTGGCCTTATAGTAATAAGAAATCGTTACATTTATAAACATGCTTTTGTATGTGTTCACAATTTACATAAATTAATCCATATAAAGAATGAAAAAATTAAACATTTTATGACGTTCACATTATATGTTCAAAATCAACAAAGTAAAAAATAAACAGTTAAAATCTGTAATTTGCCTTTTACAAGCAGATGTACAAATACGTGCATAATAATCTGTTCTTTTTTTTTATTCCGTATTGTGCCCTTCCTGTGTATACGTTTGTTCTAATACAAGCTCACTCGGACGTGCTAATTGTTTTGGTGACGTATCTGACTGTCTTTTCTGTGAATCAATGTTTATTACACTCTTTCTCTCCCTGTTCAAAGGTTCATTCTCATATTCAACAAGGACGTGTTTCAACTCCGCGCCACCTGCTGTGTACAAAGGGTCGTAATCCATGCAAGGCCCAGCGATACTGTCATCGATTTCATGGTAATGAATAACAGTGGCGGCGTTATCTTTCTTGCGTTTTCTGTACTTTCTATATTTACGACAACCACAATACAACACAGAGAGGCACCAAGACGACAAAGAATGCATTAAATACAAAGATACCTATCAATAATGCACTGCCTGCACCGATAGCTAATGAGTCTGTTTCTTTTTCCACTTTCCTAGGAACTGCCTTTGTGTTTGTCGCAGGAGAATGAGATTTTCCGATCCTCGTATGATATTCATTTGTGTGTCCTTCTATCACTATTTCTCTTATTTTAGCAGTACTTGTATTAACTTTAATATTACTTTCTGCTGTAGGTGGTGTGGACAAATTAAAATTTAAATCATACTGGTTGGTCAGCATTCTGTCATTCTGTAAGGTAGCTATTATTAACAGGAATACTATAAAATTGATTTAACTGACAAGTTTGTATTAAGCGCAAAATTTATTATATTTTACTTTTGAATAAATATAACTTTGAAAAGCAATTGTTATATGATAATTATATTGTTCAGCAAATAGTACTCACTAATGGCGGATTGACAACCGATCAAAGGACTACAAGAGGAAAATATCACAGTCACATCTGGGAACTGGCAACCATCACCAAACATTGGAAATGGACATAGTATCTCACAATCCCTCCCAATATAACCAGTATCACAGGCTTTTCGATATATAATAGTTATTTTAGCTATTGAATTCATGAATGTTCATTATATACAGCGATAAATCAAAGCACTGTTACTGTATAATTGGTATATTTCCAGAAATAAGTGGGGAAAAATGAACTTACGTGTACAAGAACTTCTGTTAATATCAAGCATAAACCCAGCACAGCAACCATGTCCACAACAATCTGACCTGTAAAAAAAATAAAATGTTTTTAAATACGGAAATAATGTCCCTAAATTATCCTTAATTAATCTAGTGGAATTATTTTGTATTAAGAATTAAAATTCTAAAAAATGAACATACCCAAAGCATTGGCCTGAAATCAAATGTACAAGTGAGACAGTCAAGAAATAAATTAAAGAAAAACCCTGTAGTATTTCTCTAAAATCCATTAGTTTCGTTGAATTTGATGAAAGAATCACATTGTTTTGCAAGTAAATTAGAAATGGTGTGTGTATTTAATCAAATAATAATTTTTACAAGGAAATATTTGATAAGCGTTTCCTAATGTTGTTAAATTACATGAATGATGATCTGGTTT